CAATGCTTCAATTCCTTCTTAGAATAATTCACTGGGCTTAATTTCGCACTATTCCCCAAAAGTCTCCATGATGTCACTTGAAATGACGTCTACGGAGTGAATGTTATACATTGGGAGGAGATAATGATAGATGAGGATCAGGTCACTGGTACATAAAAATGAGCAAGAAATTCGAAAAGACCTGCCTCTTGTATGTACCGTAATCTTACATTGTCTTGCTGGAGTTGCGCTCCTTTCATTTTGATATCCCTTGACGATTCTTCAAATAGATTCCCGCAAACACTTCAGATCACTAGATACTCACAGTTAAAGTTTGACGACGGGGCAAGAAATCATGCTTTTACAGTGGTTATGACCTTTTTCACTGATGACTGTCCGTTGAATATCTGGGGGTTCTTTGCTCTTTTATTTCGGAATCAAAGTGGTGCATCCATTTTAAAAACAAACAACTCATTGCTGCCTTGACAAAGTATAGGTCTTCTGGGTTTTTTTTGGTGCCATTTCTTACTGTTAACGTTTCCTTAAGATTATGAAAACACCCTCTACTAACAGATATCTTCAACATCTTTGAAATGGTATATATTGTTTCTCCTAATTTATCACAAAATCATGAACATTCCCAGTTCTTTTTCAGCATCTGCAAAGTCCCTCAAGGTCAGCAAGGCGCTCCTCGTCCTGTGCTCTGTTGAAACTCTGCACCTAAAACTTACCTTGAATATGAATGAACACGCCCTGTACTCCCCATCTTTACAATGTCAAGATTTGTGATATCGTTCCTCTTGACAAACCCTTGACAAAAGTTGCTATTTAAGGATGTGTTCTGCTGATATAATTTGCATGAAACTTTTCACTTTTGGCACTTTCATTCGATGTTTTCATTATTTGAAACAAAATACAAAATAGAAAAATATGAGTTAGTGAGCATATTTTTGAGATACAAGGCAGGGATGGGGTAATCGTAATCGAGTAATCGTAATCGATTGTAATGATTACTTTTTTTCAAGTAATCAACAGTATTCTGTAATCGAAGAGATTTTCGATTACTTGTAATCGTAATTTAATCGATTACGGCTAAAATTTTCAATGTAATTATAATTACTTTTTCGATTACTTTCGATTATTTAATACATAAATGGATGTTATTTTGGAGAATTATTTCCAGTCAGTCACACATAAATATCAAATTTAAACCACCTAGTGTAATGTTTGGATTTCCTAACTTTTATTATCATAAGTTTAATAATGTTCTCAATAAAATTTGCATTATAGACCTTCTGGTCTAGTATTAAATAATTCAGGAGTGTATTTCAACCATTTATTAATAAAATATACAGATTTTTTGTGTGCATTTTACATTTGACCCACTGTCCTCTTGCTGCATGTCCTTTTTCATATTTAAGATGTTGAAAAACTTTGTCTTGTAATAGAAAATTATAAATAGCAAAAACAGATTTAAGTGCTGTATTTAATATAAATAATTTGGTAAATAAACTACATTGTACTCAGAAAAAAAGAAAATGGAAATACTTATCATATCTGAAAATGTTTAAACAACTTCAAACTTTTGTTTTAGTAACTTTAAAATTTGCAAAATCATTCTCATGTTTTCGTTCAAAATTGTAAGGTTGCTTTTACATTAGTGACAGGTTATAAGTGGCTGTAAGAGAGGGACTAAGTGTCACTGTGTTTGCTTATTTTGGCTAATTAATTGACTGAGACATCCCTATTTGCAGATAATAAGGTATAAACTGTGAACTACCTAGTGTTTAACTTTTACAATTGATAGTTCCATTGAAGACAAACAATATTACTAAAACAATTAATAGCTCTCAAAACACTTATTTCAATACAGAATGAAATTGTGCTATTAGTTTAATTACTTGAAGACACATTTAATTTACAACTTTATTACTAAGAGTTCTAATTTACTTTCTTTCTTTTTTTTAAAAAGACATGTACAGGAATGTTTAATGTGTACTGTCAACATATGGGCAGCCCAAATACTTCTAATGAAGTAATTCACAATAAAATATTAAGTAATTTTTGCAACAATTCAATAAGTATGGAGGTTCAGATCCAAGGTTGAAAGGAATAATTAATTCCGTGGCATATTTTATTGTAGGAATCATGTCTCCACTTTCCATGGTAGAGAATCCTTCATTTAGGCATTTAGTGAGAATGTTAGCCAGAATAAAACCTTAAAAGAATCTGCACTGAAACTTGCAGGAACACATTCAAACTTCAGTGGATATCATCAACATTTACCATTTAAATATTGCTTTGATATTTGAAGGGATAAAAACTTAAAAGTAATCGATTATTAATCGATTACATCTTCCAAAGTAATCGATTACAATCGATTACAGGACAAAAATGAGTGTAATCGATTAATAATCGATTACACAAAATTCCTCTAAGTAATCGATTATTAATCGATTACATTTTTCAGTAATCGTGCCCATCCCTGATACAAGGCATTGAAACTATGTCGGGAAACTAAACTTCTTGGGATTTTTTTATAGACAATGAATGGAAAACACCATTCTCTGAAAAACATACGATCAGGAATTAAACTTTTTCTTAATATTTTTTAGAAGAATATCAAAACTACAAAGAAACAAAATGCGAATAAATAATAGGGGGTTAGTGGGCAAAAAAATTATGCATATTTTGATTGATAAATTTTAATACCACAGGAGTTCCGTAAAAAAGACTGACACCTAAGCATAATCAGCAGAATACATCCTTTAAAGTTGGACTTGTGGTTACACATGACGTAATGGTCAATTATAAACCAACCAATGAGAATACATGTACATCTTTCAAATCCATCGTTTTCAAATGGCTCAAAGTCAAAGAATATCTTTTGTGATTGGAAGGAGAAGGATCTTCAAAAAATTATTCTCCGATATTTTATTTGAGATTACTACAAGTAGTCACATATCCTAAATTATTGCCAATTTTCATTTCTAGATCACCTGAGCTGAAAGCTCAGCTGAGCTTTCCTGATCACCCGTTGTCCGGCGTCCGTCTGTCCGTCCGTCTTTAAACTTTCTCTGTAAACTTTTCGCATATTCAAGTTATCCTCAAGAACCACATGGCCAATTTTATCCAAAGTTAGTACAAAGCATCTCTGGGTAAAGGGGATTCTAAATTATTAAAATGAAAGGCCAAGCCCCCAGCCAAGGATAGTAAACAACAAAAGGCAAAAAATAGGGTGGGATCATTAAAAAAGCTTCTTCTCAAGAACCACTGGACCAGACAAGCTAAAACTTTTAAGTAAGCATCCTCAGGTAAAGTAGATTCTAAATTGTTCAAATTATGGCCCCCGGGGGTATTGTGGGGCCACAATAGGGAATCAAATTCTTACATTGAAATATATCGGAAAAGTATTTAAAAGCCTTCTCAAGAACAGCTGGACCAGAAAAACTTAAACTTACGTGGAAGCTTCCCTGGGAGTAGGGTGGGGCCACAAAAGGGAATCAAAGTTTTACAATGAAATATATAAGAAAAATCTTTTAAAATCTTCTTCTCAAGAACCACTTTGCCAGAAAAGCTTAAAATGATGTGGAAGCTTCCAAAGGTACATGTATTGCAAAATCTAAATTCTTCAAAACATGTCCTCTGGGTGTAGGGTGGGGCCACAATACGAAAACTATTTAAAAATCTTCTTCTCCAGAACCACAAGAAAAGCTAAAACTTAGGTGGAAGCTTCCTAAGGTACTGTAGATTCTTAATTATTAAGATCATGCCTCCGGGGATGGAGGGTGGCCACAATAGGGAATCAAAGTTGTATATTGAAATATATAGGAAATATCTACTTTTCAAGAACCACTGGACCAGAAAAGTTGAAATTTAGATGAAAGCTTCCTTGGTTCGTGTAGATTGTAAATTGTTCAAACCATGGTTTCCGTAGGTAGGGAGGGGCCACAATAGGAAATTGAAGTTTAACGTTGAAACATATCGAAAAACTATTTCAAAATCAAGAACAGCTGGACCAGAAAAGCTGAAATTTTTGTGGAAGGTAGTGTAGATTATAAATTTTTCAGATCATGGTCCAAGGGGGTGTGGTGGGGCTACAATAGGGAATCAAAGTTTGACATTGAAATATATAGGAAAAATCTTTAGATCTTTACTCAAGAACAACAGTATGAGAAGAGATTCAACCTAGGTGAAAACTTACTGAGGTAGTGAAGATTGTAATTTTCTTCAGATCATGGTCCCCATAATTGGGAAGGATGGGGCCACAATAAGGATTATAAAGGAAAATTCTTTAAAACTCTTTTTCTCAAGAACAGCAAAGCCAGAATGAATCATATAAATGTGGAAGCATCAACTGGTAGTGTAGATTCATTTTTGTTCAAATCACCGCCCCTGTGTATAGAGATGGGCCACAAAAGGTATCAAAATTTCACATAAGAATACATATTTATTGGGAGAGAATTCTGATGCAGAACAGCAGGGCCAAAGTGACTCAGGTGAGCGTTGTGGCCCATAGGCCTCTTGTAAAGACAAGTTATTTGTTTACAAAACTTACCTACTATAAAGGCTGTTTTCTAATGGTTCCCAGTCCTTAATAGGGAACAAATGAACTAGCAGCTTTCTAGCCCGGATTTTAAATAGTGACTTTTGTCAAGGGTTTGTGTAGAGGAACGATATCACAAAATCTTGACATAGCGAAGATGTATATTGTCCTTCAATATTCAAATATACAAAAAAGTTCTAATTTTGAGAATTCTGCAATTTGGTAGGTATTCTTAGATGTAAGCAGTTGGTACCTTCTGACAGACTATTTTGATTTTAAGATTATAATGTACATACGAACAAAACAAATGATATTAAATATATAAAATGTACATGTACATGTAACATTTCTGCGCCTCCACTAGTTTCAGTTTGTTTTACAACAACCTATATATAAAACATTTTGTGTACGTGAATGCCTGTTTAATTGTTCTCTCGGTTTACAATTTAATATATTGATTGGGGGGTTTGATTACCTGTGAGACAATAGTGTTGGAAAATGTTGAAATGTCGAAGACCCATTCTGTGCAAGTTCCTATCGTCCCGTTCCTTATGATTTCACATTCTTTGTATTTACCATCAGAGGTTGTGGGTATAGATGAATTTATAATACTCTTGTGGTATTCATTTTGTACAGCAAACGTGTCATTTTGCCAGTCTGGAAGTTTACACCTGCAAATTATTGCTAAATATTAATATATTAGAAAGTACTTCATGATTATGAAGTAAGTCAATAATCTAAAATGTGCCAAATTTAGAAAATGCTATACAATATACATTTATTGACTTGATTCGAGTACAACATGCGTTTTGTCGGAACCAAGAATCAGTTTTGTTCGATGGGGTCGACAAAACGCATTTTGCCCGAGAACACAGTCAATAAATGTTTGTTATTCCTTTAACGTTTTTTTTTATTTTGTCACATCTTGAGCTGGCTTCCATTGTCGCGATAATTGATAAGATATAGCTGATCCCGCCTACATCGTGACGTAAAAAACGCCATAGCGGTCCAGTACCTCATTGACAGGTCCAATCCAACATTTTTTTTTCACTGCTGAGAAAAACATTGGAAATGTTAGACTTCTGTAAGTATAGATTTATATAGGAAACAATTTTTAAAGGTAGGCTGTGTAATAGTGTCGCACTACCCTTTGATATGAATTACAACTAATGTGTACAATTTTCTTGTAACTTATTCTATTTCTCTTTTTTTGAAGCATTAAGACATGATTCATGATAACACTGATATTGCTGATATCAAAAGAATATCCGAATCAGATCCTCTAGAAGAGTTCTTTTATCATTGTGTTTGATGAGTACAGAAGCAATTAATTGTTTTACACGTTCTTCACTGGATACTCCCTGTTTCTATTTATTTAGGTTTGCTATGCTTATCCAAGGCTGGAAAATTATATAGCTTATAACTATATCAATTACACAATAGGAGATTAGTCTCTTATTAAGGAACATTTAAATGAACGTATATACCAAATACTAGTATACAATATGTATCGAATGCATCAAAGTCCTTAAAAAACTCGAGAAACCTGTGTTTGTCTTTAAAAATGTAGTTTACATGAATTGCAACGGAATGTAAAGGTTAATAAATTAAGGGAAGAACTTAATAACAATATCATAAAAAAGGGAAATTTTGCTGAAGACTAGACTAAAGGATGAATAACATAAACAATCTTTTTTCTCCCAAATTAAGATTTTTTTGCTAAAATGGGTGCCTCTCTCACTTAAGAAGTGATATTTGTTTAGTTAAATAGATTAATGTTTGGCCAAGCCACATACAATGTAATTTAAAGCAATATGAGCTGCATTTTTGAGAATTTAATTTTGCTGTTAAAATGTGTTATTATGATAAATTTGTATATAATTCAAACTTTTTGATCAATTAGACAGAAATAAAGTATCAAATTGTTTCAGAATAAAGGATTCTGTACAATCAAATATATAGTATTATATGAAAAATCAATATTGTACAGGACGACAATAATGTCATTTTGCTTCAAACAAAGCTTATAAATAGCTCTTCCATCGCAAATATGAACAACAGATGTTTATAAAAGTTCTTTTTTTCTGTCATTGAACTACAATTTTGCAACAAAAATTTCTAACATCAAAGTTGAAGCTCACATTGCTTTAAAAGGTGAGAAATGCAACTTTACAGTTGCATAAAAAGAGAACAGGCGAAGTTTAATCGAGGTGAGGCAAACGACGAGAAAAGAGTTGCAAGCCTTCTCTCTTTTTATGTATCAGTCGAAAACGATATAGGGCAAAGTTTTTTTTCAGGCCGCAAAATAAAATTGTAAATGTATTACACAAATAATGAATTACCAACTTTAAAGTTGGAAAAGCCATTGATTAATAATACTACCAACCAAATCAAAAGAAGAAAACACATAGGCAATAAACCTTGGTTTGATGTCAAATGCACGGAGTTACGTAAAACTTACTTAAGAAAGAGCTAGGTTCACTTTATGCATAAAATGGCCCTGACCTTAAATCAATTAATTGACTATCACCCTCTGTCCCATTTCATATATCAAAATAAAGTAGAGACTTAGTGCTTTCATTTCATATAACAAAATTTCTTTTTGAGAATCCAGGTATTGGAAAACAGGCTTTGAGAACATGCAGTATTCTTGAATTTTGCAGAAAAAATGCGTATTTGACTACCTTCAGCAATAAATTAAAATATGAGCACAGCCCACAATCCAAAAATTAAAACATGTTTTGTGATCTTCAGTAACAGATCTTTCATTATGTAATTGCATATTTTGGATCAGAGGTTGTGCTCTATATGAAATATTGAAAAATACCTCAACTTTTGGCCATTTTTAAGGGAATTTACAGGATATGGGAAATATGACGCATTTTATGACCTCATAATGCATTGACTAGAGAGAAAATTACATCAAGTTCAATAGATATACGATCACCAAGGGTTCAGGTTATAAATATTGCATTTTCAACCAAAACTGAGCAGTTTCGATTTTTCAGAAATTCTGAGGGCCAAAAAATGCCCTAAGTGGCTCTTGCTCTTTAAAGGTGTTTAATAGCTCACGGACTCATTTTTACAGAAATGTACTGGTCACCTCTAAGAGAAATTATAAAAGGTATGAAAGAAAAGTTAAAAGAGAATATTTTCGTTACCAAGGAGACTAAATGGAATACATAAGGAAGAAAAATCCAAAAGAATTCTATCGCATTTTCCGCAAAAAGAAAGGAAGCGTGTCACATGGACCGGATCTCTCGGAATTTTATAACCACTTTAAAGAAGTGTCCTCAAATCAACATTCAATGCATGCCAGTAGTGACACTCGGTGTCCTCAGAAATAGACAATTCTGCATATCCTGAATTGAACAGCCCAATAACCGCAGAGGAGATAACTCGTGTTATCAAACGTTTGAAAAAAGAAAAATCTCCGGGAATTGACAATCTATTAAATGAATATTTTATTGAGTATAATGATATTCTCATCGTATATCTTGTGGATTTATTTAGCATTGTTTTTACATCAGGCGTTTCTCCCAATAGCTGGTCAGAAGGTATCATTACTCCAATTTTCAAAAAGGGAAATATAAATGACTGTAATAATTATAGAGGGATCACACATGTAAGTTGTCTGTCGAAAATTTTTACTTCCTTACTCAATGAGAGATTGAGTACCTGGTCACATCAATGACGCACAATTTGGTTTTAAAGCCGGTCATAGCACAAGAGATGCTATTTTTGTTCTGCATTGGTTAATCAGCCGTGCTATTGCCAAAGGGAAAAAATTATTTTGCTGTTTTGTAGACTATGAAAAGGCATTTGATAAAATTGATCGAAATATTATGTTATCTAAATTAGCAAAAAGTGGTATTGATTGTCAGATGTTGAATATTATTAAATCCTTGTATTCTAATATAAAATCTTGTGTACGACACAGAAATCATTTTCCAATTTTTTGGTTGCCGAGAGGGCCTGATGCAGGGTGAATCTCTATTTCCATTTTTGTTTTCTCTGTATGTTAATGATTTTGAAATGGAATTTATAGAAAATATGTGTATCCCCGTAGAAATAAGGGATATTGCTATGTTTTTGATAATGTATACAGATGACACTGTACTTTTCTCAGAGACAGAACAAGGTTTACAAGATATGCTTAATTGTTTAGAGCAATATACAACAAAGTGGAAACTTAAGGTTAACGTCGATACAACTAAAATTGTGGCATTTAGAAAAGGTGGTAGATTGAAGAAAAATTACTGTTGGAAATATGACAACAAAATGATTGATATTGTTGAAAATTTTAATTACTCAGGAATTACTTTGAATTATAACGGTAAATTTCATAAAACACAAAGTGTATTAGCAGCTCAATGTAGAAAGAATCTAAGTAGTTTGATAACAAAAATGAAACCAATGTATTTGAATGTAAGCACTAAATTGTCATTGTTTGATACATATATTGGTAGTATAGCAAATTATGGTTGCGAAGTTTGGGGGTTTCACCCAGCAGGAGAATTAGAAAGTATCCACTCAAATTTTTGTTAAAAAAAAAGTACGAAGTGTTAAAAAAAAGCACTGTCTCTATGATGGTTTATTTTGAATTATGACGGAAACCCTTACAATGGAACAGAAAAATTAGACTGCTGAAGTATTGGTTAAAGTTAAAAAATAGTTATAATTGAATTTTAAGAAATATATACATGTACCAAGAAATGTAAGATGTGTGTGAATCAAATACTTTTCCTTGTTGGCTGTCACATATAAAAGAACTTGTTGATACTTTAGGCTTTGGTTATATATGGAACTGTAAAGACTATCAAAATGAAAAACTTTTTTGGTTTGAGGTGAAACAAAGATTGGATGACATGTTCATACAAGAGGCACGAAGTAATTTTGAAGCTTCTCCTAAGTGTATTTTGTATAAGTATTTAAGCGATAGTTTTAATTTACAATTATATTTAACAAAACCAATATCACAAAAATATATACAACATATCAGTCAATATCGTATATCTTCTCACCAACTAGAGATAGAACGAGGAAGATTATTTAATATTCCTAGAATAGAAAGATTGTGCAAATTTTGTTCAATGTCACAGGTTGAAGACGAGTATCATTTTATTCTGGTTTGTCCGGGGTTTTTTTTCGATGTTAGAAAAGAGTATATTAAGAAATATTATCACCAAAAACCATCTACCTTAAAACTTGTTCAATTGTTGTCAACAAAAAATGTAACAGAGTTATGTAACCTAGGAAAATATCTTTATAAATGTACAAGATTGAGAGCAGAAGTTAACTCACATTGATATAACGAGATTATCCTCACTATTACTATTACCAAATGTATACTATGGTGCTTTTGTCTGCTTTATAGACTAATTTAAATTATGGCGCTTTTGTCTGCTTTATGGACTAATTTATATTATGGCGCTTTTGTCTGCTTTGTGAACTAAGAATGAATAGTATGTAAGATCCTTTACTATTATCCTGCTTTACTTAATGTAAAAAACGATAATGAAATGGCTATATATATATATATATATATATATATATATATATATATATATATATATATATATATATATATATATACACACACACACATTGTACAAACTGATTTATGTATATACTTTAAACCTATCAACTGTATGGTTCTTGGTAATAAACA